TTAGTAAATCATTCTACTTTTGGAATCTGCTTTGATAATTTTATGCCTGTGAATTTTTCAATTCATAGAAATTTTCTTTCTTGTTGACTTAAAGTTCTTCACAGTATTCCTTTATAATCATTTTCATTTTCATGAATGGTGATGTTTTCTCTTTAGTCCATAATTTTAATCATTTTTTTCTTCTTTCCTATTTTCTTGGGTGTGTTGTCAAGTGATTTGTCATTTAGTTAAATTTTTCAAAGAAACAGCAGACAGACCTGCAGATGGGGCTGTTAGGATCCACTTGGTGTGGTATTTTATGTGTTTAGTGTTAAGTGAGCAATACAGGAAAGTCCTATCCACAGGAACGGGGTCTTGCACCATCTTATTTATTCTGCCCAGGGTTAGAAAAATGTTGATATAAGTAGACTGCTAGCCATCTAAACAGATGCTAAGCGGACTCACATCTGAGTCTCACAGCATCCAGGGTCCACGGAGGCTCAGGCACTTCAGGGCCCATGTATCCGTAATACATGGCAAAATACAAGTGTGCCACAGTGATGTGTATGTACCTAGAAAATTGTAGAGCTCCCATCTGTGAGTGTCGGCCTGCTATTGACTGTTGTGCCCAAGGTTTGGGTATAGTTACTAGAAATACTTCCTTGGCTACTAAGGTTGATTCTAAGGTGATTCATAGCTGAACCTCAAAGTCGCCAGGACTTGTCCATTCCAGAAAGTTGTGTGAGAGTACCCCATTTCCACACCACTATTAAAGCTGATACAGTGAAAACTTGCGTATCTCTCATAGGTACACAAGTCTACAGCTGATGTGGGAATGCACTTAGAGGGTGTATCTGAGCTTGGGACTGTGCTTGGGGCCTTTAGTTTCTACCCAGTGCTGACTTTGACCATGATGACCTTGGCATGGAACTCTGAGAAAAAGCTCTGTTCAGCTTTCATGTCAGTAGGTAGAGTTCAGCTGTTTACTGTGTCTCCTGATGATGGACGCAGGGTCTTAGGAGTAGCCTCTACCTCAGAGCCTAATGTCATTCTCACGACTCAGTACACAGATACTGGCCTAAAGGTAGAAAGAAGCACTGCACTATAGATTTCACTGTCACTGTGGCAGGCCTAGATTTAATTCTCTATCCAGGCTAATCTTCCTGGAGATGGTGAAGAAGTATCTTTTTGCCTTTTTCATAGCTATTCATTATGATGTATTTGTAGCGGGAAATTGCTAAATATTATCTGCTATCTGGCAACTCTATTTTATTTATTTATTTATTTATTTATTTATTTAGATAGGGTCTCATTCTGCAGCCTTGACTGATGGTCTGAAACTCACTATGTAAATTGAGTTGGCCTCAAACTCACAGAGATCTGCATATCTCTGATTCCTGAGTGCTGGGATTAAAAATTTGTGCCACCCCACCTGACTCAAGCCAGCTTTTTAAATAGTTCCTAGGGTTTTTGCTTTTATTGATCTCTCCTGAGAACCCAGAGTGTTGCCTGGCTCATAGTGGTTATTGAATAAGTATTTTTGAGTACATGCTTTAGAATGCTCATACAGCTCCCATGGTTCTGTAGCCTCGCTGATATAGTATTGACATGATTGTATATACTGTCAAACATCAGCTATTTTTCTATGGCTCTCACCCCTCATCTGACTTGCTGCATTTCACCAAACTCAATATGATGAAATACTTTTATATATCTATTAGCTATGTGGCTTTTTTCTCTTTTTTGGAGGATTCATCAATCTTGTGCTCATTTTCCTCTTGGTTGCCCATCTCTGTTTCTTACAGATACATGAAACTTTATAAATCCAGCATTCACACTCTGTAATAGTTATCTATGTAGTAAATATCTTATCCTGTGGTATTTTTTTGTCTATTTATGACTTTTATTTTTATTCATTGGATGCCTTGTGCCATAGCATATGTGTAGAAATCAGACTACAACTTGTAGGGAATTAGTTCTCTCCTTCCCTTGTGGGCCCAAGGTATTGAACTCAGGTCACCAGGTTTTGTGGCAAGTGACTTTATCTACTGAGCCATTTTGTTGACACACTTAATGACACTTTTGAAGAACAGGATTTTTTTTATTTTCATGAAGCTATATTGGGTAGTCATTTCCTTAATAACTACACCTTTTGTACCCTTTTAAAAATATAGTATTTTTAGTTTTTGAAATTAAAGTATAATTGTATTTTCCACCTTCCCTTTCCTCCTTCCAGTCCTTCCTAGTATTTCCCTTTTGCTCTCTCTCAAATTTATGACTTCTTTTTCTTGAGTCCACCTTTTGTATCTTAAGATATAAATACTCTTATGCATTGCTGGTAGAAATACAGAAGAGCACAACTCACACAGGGTGAAATTTATGTATAAAGATTACATCAGCATTTACTCTGTCTCAGCAATTTCACTTCTTAGAATTTATTTGAAATAAATGTTTGAAAAATATCAAATTTTAAATATATATTATACACACACATGGCTAATTTTCAGGGCTTAGTTTAAAATAGCATAAGACTTGATATAAGACCAGTATTTCAGTGTTTGTTAGTAGCAGAGTATCTGAATAACTATTGTACAGTGAAATATTGTATAAAAGAGAGTAGTTTTTACATTAATACGGAAGTATTTATGGGATATATTATTAAATCCAAAAAAGAAAGTTTCAGGCCATTATTTATATAGGAGAAAGGTGTAACTAATGAATTTCATTATATATATGAAATACTGGAACTGTTAGTCAAACTTAAGAAGAAATACTGTTTATGGGGAAGGAAGAGAAAGAAATGAAGGGATCAGAGACGGAGTGATACTTCTGTAGAGGTGCTGTATAACTTTTCACTTTAGAGCCATATTCATGTTTTGCATGATTACAAATGAAATAAAAACTATAATCAAAAAGGAAAGAGGGCTGGGGGTGTAGTTTGCAATTGGGGACTTACTTAGCATGCACTAAGCCCTGGATTCAACCCTTAGGATCACATACACACAAAACTCAAAGAATAAACCCATAAATTAAAAAACAATCTGAAGCAAATCGTAAACATAGTTGATAGCATAATCACTCAGAGAAAATAATTACTGTAGTGACTTTGAAGTAATACATATCTATTACTAACAATATATAATCTAAGGACTGCAAAACTATAAAGGTATATTCAATCATTTTATTGTTGTTAACCATATTAGTATTGCTCAAAGAATTTCAATTATGTGAATATGTTGTTAGAGAAAGCTAATAATAAAGCACCTTGATAGTATTATTAGGATGTGAGGAACTGGTGATAGAGTCCTTGCCTAGAAGGCAAGCAGCCTTGGGTTTGTTCCCCAGGTCTCCCCAAAATAACTGTCCAAACAAAATAAACTAAAAGAGATGCAGGTCTAAAACCAGAGTAAAATAGAAACCTTGTCATATTAAATTTGAATTGGAAATGTTCTTATAAATTTAAGATCAATTTTTCTCTTATAAAATAGCCTAGCTTTGCCTACTATAAAGGCTGAGAAGCAACAGTGAACACACTGAACAATATAGTTTCCAAGTTCTTTTCATTGAAAGGAACCAGGGAACCTTGGGAAAATAGTCAAGGTTCAAGTTAGAAAATGTACAAGATAAGCTTAGGATAGCTTGCTGTTCCAGAAAATCAGAAAGCAAAATAGGAGCTGGTTTAAAGGACTTCTTATGGGTTCTAAGTGGGGTAGTTCTAAGTGGGAATGCAAATAATCACTATATGTATTGCAATGCATATATCCTATAAAAATATGTGATTTCATAATTGTACCGCAGATAACCACTGGTTACCATTAGGTATTTCTAAAGTAATAGTTTCTTATTGTCATAAATAATGAAGAACAGATAGAATCAAGCATTTATGCGCTTTTCTTATATAGACTATATTCAGGAAAACTAAAAAGGTTGATGATTAAAACTACAGAAGAAATAATAGAGTCAGGGAAGGCCCATTTTGTAATTTGTATAAGTTCATAGATCTAAACAATAATCAGCAATCACTATAAAGCCCATTAGGTAAGTTTAATGGGAGTACATAATAATTGAGGATGTGACAAACACCACTTAAATTCACAAATTAATTTCAGCATTACTAAAAATGTGCCAGTGAACATTATGTACCTTTGGACAGGGTACACTGGGAAATATACACTTATATATGAAAATTTTTACATTAAATATTAAACATGAAGCTAATTAAATCTTTACAGAAACAGTCTTTAATATAACTTTCTAGGATATTGTAAATGATCTTTATCTGTTCTGGATAATTTGGTATCTATGAGCAAATATACATACACACTAGGTATTTGAAATGTACCAAATTTGACCCAAATTGATAAAAAAAGTATGTATAAGTGATAAGTGATCAATGACAACTGTATTAGACTAGATTTGACTGTCAAGAAATTTTGAACAAGTTATCAAAAACATTTTATTAAATCAATTTGTTCACAAAGCAGATAATGGTTATATAATATCAATAGATGGAGGAGAAAAGTTAATGAAGAGATGGAACAGAAAAATGATTTAAAAGTTGTAATAGCCAAAAACTGATTTAGATCTTGATTAAATAACCAAGCATTTAAAAAGTCACTGAAATAATCAGCCATTCAAATATAAATTTGGAATTAGGTGATACTTAGGAATTACTAAGTTAATGACTATGAAAATGTCATTCTGGTTCTCTTCTTCAGATGTCCTTGTGAGTTAGAGGTATGTATACTTGGATGAGCTTGAGGTTTCTGGGTGCTTTCCTTACTTTCCCATGTATTGACCTTGTGCAAGATGCAGTTTTAAGATCCATGCACACTTACATGTACATGCATCTTCATGTGTGTGCGTGCACACACATACACATGCACACTTGCTACATCTTGTAAAAACCTTTCCTAAACTAGGTTTTGTATCTGAGATCCAGAGTTTATTTTTTATTAATTTTTAAAAGGTTGTACTGGGGAGGCTTTGTAGAACTTCCATATCTCTTTGTCTTGATCCAGATGAACCCCCAAAGAAGAACAAAGGTGATCCCATGAACAACCTGGAAAGTTTTTACCACGAGACTATAATGAAAAAGCGTCTTGAAGAGTTCCAACTTATGAGAGGTGAACCCTTTGCTTCCCACTCACTGGTCTCAGCTACGTCAGTGGGTGATAGTGGCACAGCTGAGAACCCATCACTACTCCGGGACAAGGGAAAGCAGGCAGCACAGGGTAAAGGCCCCAGTCTCCATGTGGCAAAAGTTATTGATTTTCCACCTGAGCAGTGTTGGACTGGGCCTAAGAAGCTGACGCAACCAATAGAATTTATCCCTGAAGATGAGATCCAGAGAAACCGTTTATCAGAGGAGGAGATCCGAAACATCCCTATGTTTTCTTCATATAACCCAGGGGAACCAAACAAGGTATAGGCCAAATCAAGAACACAACATGGGTTGTTCTCACTTTATTTACCTCTACCTAACAGGGCATTAAAATTACCTTTGATTATGCCAAAGATTATGACATAGGTATTTTGTTTGTCCTTAACCATCATTTTCCGCATACTATTTAAGTAGCCTATGGCCTATTTCCTACCATGTTATTTGTGCCTTTCTTAGGTTCTAAAGTCTCCTCAGAATTTTTAAATAAAAAAATGAGATTTAGCTCATACCCACTAAAAGCTCTGAATTATAGGAAAAGTAACCACAGATTTCCTAGTGATTGACTACCTGGTTTTGGGTTCCGTTAAAAGCAAAAATTCCTAAAGCATTCATTTTTGTCCAATTTAAGAAGACAGAGTAAAAAATAATGTTCCCTGTTTTTTAAAAACTGGATGGAGGGATACTGAAGTACTTTAACTGCCTTTCTGTTATGTTATTCCTGTTCCAAGGGTAGCTCTACTTTCATTTACTTTTTGTCATGAACTTTTACTAACATGTCAAAGAATAAATATCCCATGAATAAATTGGGAATATCTGTATACTTAGCTAGCCATGTTTACTAAGACTTAATAATTTTTCATATTTGCCTAGTTTTAAAAAAATAAGTAAAGCATTATGAATGTACCTGAAGAATTTCATGTATTCTTCATCATTCGCATTCTTCCTTCTTTCCAGGTTTAACCACTCTTTTGAATTTGCTAGTTCTCTTCCTGGGGACATTTTTATCTATTTACTATATAAATGGTATACAACTGTCCCTAACTAATGATAGCTAAATTTACTTTCTTTTGCATGATTATATGTGAAAAATATGCATTCAGTAGAACCTATACCCTGAATTTTGAATTTTTATTTTTGTCAAACAGGCAATATACATTATGGTGCTATGGTACTTTATTGGGATTCTGGGCAGCCATAATGACCCAGAGCTCACAGTCAGTCAGCTCCGTATCATGAGGAGAGGAGAAACCAGGTTGCTATAGTTCAGTGTTCCATAGATTACATGTATTAAGTACATTTCTAAGGATGTTATCAAGTTACAAAGGATTTATCAAAATATAACCCTATCTTAACCCCAGGTACTTCTTAGCTATCTATAAATATTTATAGATATTCATAGATACAGTTTTATAGTTTCAAACTGTTACTATTTTGACTCAATATACCCAATATTTTAAAATTGTATTTCTAATGATACAAGGAACTATTTAGTACTCCACAATAGAAATATGATATAATTAATTTTCTATTTTTTAATTTATTTTCCCCCATTACTTTACTGCTACAGATAAAGTTGTAACAAGCACTGTTATGCATATTGTTGTTTTTCCGCAGTACTAGAAATTGAACCTAATATCTTGGGAATACTAGGGAAATTCTTTACTCTTGACCTATATACATAGACTTCTTTTTCACTTAAGTTGAGACAAAATTTCACTAATTGCATGGGCTATCCTTGATCTCAATCTGTAGTCCAAGTAATCATGAACTTGTGATCTCCCTGCTTTGACCTCCCAAATAATTGAGATTCTAGACATAAATCACCAGGCCTGGCTTGTACATATCTCTTATTGCCCATGTACAAACATTCCTCCTAGACAATATTTTTCAAGCTTAAGTTATGATTCATAGGTCACACCAGCAAGGCTTTATTTTTAAGGAAATGAATAGAAGAATAGAATAGTAGATCAAAGTGTACCCCATACAGTTGTATTCCCCACAGTTAAGCACTGTTTCTTAAAAGTTGTATTTTTTGTTCATGCAAAGTGTGAGAGTACGAAGAAGGAATAGTATATATGGGCTGTAGTGTTTAATGAAGTTCTTCCTGTAGATCTCAGGCAAAATATTGAGCAATGTATCATTCTCTTATAATATTTCTCACATTTTAGTGTACATAGAAAGCACCTGAAGAAGTTATTAAGACAGGTTGCTGGCCTTTACCACCACCCTTTTGACTTAGTGGATCTGGAAAAGGGTATGAAAATTTGCATTTCCAATGTGTTCCCAGGAAATACTAACAGTTTTGGTCTAAGAATGGAATTTCTTGGTTACATACCAAGGAATGAATTTACTGATACAGGATATCCATATCTTCCACTTGTACCAAGCAATATTTCAGAAATTCCCTTTACATTTTTAACAAAACTTTCTATTCAACTTTTAACTTTACTTAAGAGTTCGGAAAAGTAATTGATTTTTAAATTTGCATATTCCTATTTTCCAGTAAAGATGCACATGTATTTTTATATTAATTATTCCTTCTACTCTCTGAGTTAGTTTTCTGTTCCTTTGCCCATAATTTGATGTTTGCCTTCTTATTTATTTTAATGATTACTTTTCATTTTTTAAAGATTTATTTTTATTATGTGTGTGTCACATGTCTGAGAACAAGAATAAAGAAGAGAGTTATTTGGACTACTAATTTCTGAGTATTTTCTGAAATTAATGGCAGAATAGTAGCCATACATTCAGGAATCTCTGAGAATATTAGCAAGATAAATACCAAAAACTACATCTAAGCTAATGTATTCAAACTATAGAAAGGCAAAAAAATGAATACTTTATATAGGATCAAAGAGAATTACATCAGACATATCACAAGGCAACATAAACAAGAAGAGAATGGAATGAAATATTTATGTTTAGAGAAAAAAATCCCACCCTCCCAGAAATCGATCCAGAAAACATCCTTTCGATACAGACGAAGCAGACTAACAGTTCTTGGACAAACAGGATATAGAGAATTTGACACAATAAAATTATTCTCCTGGGCTGGAAAGATGGCTCAGCGGTTAAGAGTACCGACTGCTCATCTAGATGTCCTGAGTTCAATTCCCAGCAACTACATGGTGACTCACCACCATCTGTAATGAGATCTGGCGCCCTCTTCTGGTCTGCAGGCATACATGCAGACAGAACACTGTATGCATAATAAGTAAATAAAAAATTGTTCTCCTAAATCTAGGAAAATTATATAGCTTAATAATTCAGATTTATGTAAAGGAAGAACATAAAGGAAAGAATACATGTAGATAAAAATAAAGTGATTTTTTTTCTTCTGTAAAACAGAAGCAGAGAGAATACGTTTTGTGAGATGAGACTTAGGTTATTACAGAAACCAGTTAAAATATTACAATAAAAGGAAATTACAACCTCCTATCTGTCTTGTGCATAGAAGCAAAAGTCCTAAATCAAAGTATTTTGAGTGTCATAATGAAATCTATTATTATATATAGAAACCTCAAAATTAGGTCCACAGAAATTATTGAATTGAATTTTTACAAAGCGAATTCAATGCAGAAATGATAATCTTTTCTATACAAATGATACTAGAACAACTGGCTATCCAAATTCAAAACTAGACACAAACCTTTCCTCCATCATAAAAAATTATTTAAAAATATGTGATAGGCCCATGCAGAAAACAATAAATGTTCCAAAATATTTGGAAGAAAACAGGGGCATAAAGTCTAAGTCTTATCTTTGCTGTATTTTTCATCAAAAACACAATTTATATTAAAAAATGATAAATTATACTTTGTTCAAATTGCAAATTTTTCTGTGAAAGACATGTTAGAGATATATAGAAGACATACCGTAGATTGCAAAGCATATTTCACAGCACATGCATATCTAAGAAAGGACTTACATCTAAAATATACAAAGAACTCCTAAAACTTGACAGTAGTAAATGAACAACTCAGTTTAAAAAATGGTCAAAGTACAAAACTAGATGGCTCATCAAAGAAGATTATAATGTCACAAATAATCCTATGAATGAAATCTTACCATTATATGTCATCAAGGAATTGCAAATGAAATAATGAGATACCATTAAGCATGCACTAAGATTGATGACAAAGCTGACAGTACCAAATGCTATTAGGGATGCAGAGCAACAGGACCATTTAATCATCGCAGATGGGAGTATAAAATGGTACAACCTCTTTGGAGTCAGTTTGAAAGTCTCTTAAACAAAGCACAACGTTGTTTTACCCTGTGACCCAGAAGTTTCACTCTATTATTTATTCAACTGTTTGAAAAACCTGATTGTATGTGTATATATATACTTATACATGTATAAGGGCATGTGAATGTTTGCAATGACTTTATTCATTATTGCTTAAAAACTAGAACCAATGAAAATGTCCTCCAAATGGATGCACTTGTCAGATGGATGCAATGAAATGTAATTTAGCAACAAATATAATTGAGCTATCAAACCATATAAAGACATAAACTTTAGATGCATTTAATAAACAAAAGATGCTACTATGAAAGTAAAGCATTTTGTTATTATTCTGTAATCTGGAAAACTCAGAATGACAGAGAGGCATCAAAACAATAGTTAATTATCAAAAGTTGGGGGGAAAGGAGAGAAAAAGTGAAGCTTAGAGTATTTTTAGGTGAATAAAATTATTGTATGTGATAATGAAATGGTGAAGGCAGGGTGTACGTTCAAGAGACTATATAAAACTACACAGTACAAAGAGAGTCTTAATGTGTGCAAGTATTTAAAAATGATTTCAGAGATTAGAAAATTTCAGAAAAGAGTAAATACTATAAGAGTGTGTATAAAACAGTAAAGAGTGTATATAAATCACTAAAAAGATAGGAGGAAAGGTACTGACCTAACTAGCTTTGGAAATGTGTAATTCGCACAACTAGCAGCAAATGGGAACTGTACGTAAACACCACGCCTGGGTTGCCAAGGTTGTGTCTCCTGGTTAACAATGCTGATACTGCTGTGCACATATCTTTAAGTAAATGGTTGACAGATAGTAGGCACAGTTTTTCACAGTTGGAATTTGGAGCTAAATAAAGGGAGAAAATTAAAATGATTCATGTGGTAGTAGCTTAAATTTGGGAGCATCACTGTGGATTCATATATAACTTAATCCAGACACAGGTAGTTCACATGTAGTAGAAATATTTGTCTGCATTTATACACAGGTTAGTATTAGCATAACAAGCCCCGAATGAATCAAACTTGCCCTTGCTCAGGATGGATTACTTCTAATACCATTCTCTGCCAAATGTAACAAGAGATCTTCAGAGAAATAAATGGCTGGCCCTATTACTCAGGCAGGAAATACACAAGATTAGCCCTTAGTACTTTTGTACCCAAGGTAAAATAGCAGCATAAAACACAGGGACTGATGGATAACTCCAATAATCAAAGCTAGAACTCTCTGTGCAACAAACCAAACAACTTTAACTTTCAATAATGTTTCAAAATCTAGACTGCCCTTATCTTGTACAGGTGTTGAGAATTAAAAAATTGAGGAAGGAAGTAGAGAAAAGATAAATCTTAGGAACATAACTCCCTGCTGCTTGGTTATGAGTGGCTTGTGTTGACCTGTTTCCCAAGAGTACTATGTGCAAAAGAAGACAAGCAGTTAATGGAGGAAGCTGACCAGCACTCCCTCAGCCAGGAAATGAAAGCAAGTATCAGCAGTCACAAATCAGTGTTATTAGCATTTCTGCTTGATACAGTGTGACCCAAACTGAACTCTTCCAGTGTAGTTTTCTTCCCAATAATTCATCACTCTACTTTAACATCAAGAAAAACAGCAGGTAAAAACCTAGTAATGGGCTATATTATAAAAACGAAATCTGACCAGTATTACTATAATTTTCATAATCATGAATAATAAAGAAAACCTGAAAAATTGTCAAGAGGAGCTTAAAGGTACATGACAGCTAAATGAAAGGTGGTAGTCTAGATGGTGTCTTAAACAGAAAAATATCATTAGGTAGAAACTAAGGAAATGTAAATAAAGAATGGACTCTTGTTAATAATGGAACAGCACTAGTTTACTAATAAAATGAATGTAACATATAAATGTAAGATATTTATTAAGTCAGAAACTGGATATGAAGCATAAGGAAATTATACTTAAGCTCTGAAAAAATCAAATCAATTTTGTAAGGCTTTTTAAGTTACAAATAAATTCAGAGAGTATAAACTATATAAAGTTCAAAATGTGCAATCAAAACTAAATATCACACAGTGATAGCAGAAGGTTCTGTTTTTCTGTTTGACAATCATGCTTGTCTTATTTTAGAGCCTCCCAATATCTGTATGTCTACATATGTCTACATACATAAATACATATGTATGTTTTAGATACACACATGGATATATCTGTACATATAAGTATGTGTGTATACTTTTGCAGCAGAGAACATGGAACCAAGAAAGAACTAAGACAACCTCTTGAACAGAAGTTCTTTTAAAAAAAAAACCACAACAACAACAACAACAAAAACTTTTAATCATGTGGCTCGGTAGGTGATTCAGCAGTTAGGGTACTGTTTTTTGTTTGTTTGTTTGTTTTATTCCAGAGGACCCAGATTTGAATCCCAGCGTCTGCCTGACAAACAATCTGCAACTCCAATTCCAGGGGCTCTTCCGCCCTCTTCTGGTATCCACAGGCACTGCATGTACATAGCACACAGGATTACATGCAGACAAAACACTCATACACATAAAATAATATTTTTAAATTCTGAAAAATAAAAAATATATTTATGAGAAGAAACGGTCAGTATGGATCTTTTCTAATTGCAGAGAAAGTTGGGATCTGTTTTCACATACTCCCTTCCCAGTTTTTAGAACCTGTTAAAATTATTTTTTACTGAAAATAACTTTTTCATATAAGATATTTTGATCACAGTTTTTCCTCTCTCATGTCCTCCCAGATCCTCCCCACCCATCCAACTCCATGACTTCTCTCTCTCTCTCTCTCTCTCTCTCTCTCTCTCTCTCTCTCTCTCTCTCTCGGAAACAAACAGGCAAATAAACCAAAGGAAAAGATAAGGCACAAAAACCATGCACACACAGGCACATACATCACACACAAAAAATGAAACCATAAAAACATAAAATCAGAAACCACAGTATATAAGCAAAAGACCAATAAGATTTTTTTTAAATGCCCAAACAAAACAATATGGAACAAAAAATTAAAAGTACCATTGCATTTGTTTTGTGTTGGCGGTCTCCTGCTATGTACTAAGCTTAATTTTAAATCTTACACTGCTTTCTAAGGTAAAGTTTCCACTATTTAGTAACTTTAATGGTGTTTAATGTATTTCTCCATATATTTCAGCGACTGTATCAGTCATTTCCTGGCTGTTGTCTTTTCTGTTCTAGTGTGAATTCTTTCCTAATTTTTAAAGCAAAAACTTTGTTAAATTACTTTTCCCTCTTCCATCCTTTTTGTATTGTTGTTAAATAATACATTGGATCTACCTTCCTAGGAAAATATAAGTACCCAAAGCAGTGTTGTTGGCTTCTGCATGATGCTGTATTGCAGGTTTGTAGGGATTTCTCATCTTCCATGACTGAAGCAACTTCCCCATTTTTCCCTTATAGTGACTTACCATCATTATACTTTTAGCTTCAATGAGCTGGACTACTTTAAAATGCTATGTCTAAGTAAAATAACATAATATTTGTCTTCCTGTTACCTAGTATATACTCCTAAAAGTTTATCTGTGTCATAGCATTTAATAGTGTTAATGGAAAGCAATAAACCCACAACTTTTACCTTAAAAAGAATAAGAGATAGTTTATTCTTGAGCCAAATATCAGTGAATATGACCTGGTAATGCAAATTTAGGTTACCCACAATCCATGCTGCAAGATGGTAACAGTTTCATGACTTTTTATAGTAACAGAAGAACAAAGAAAAATCACAAATCAAGGTACTTTCAAGTTCACATTGGTGGAAACATCAGGTAGGTGGGTTACAGCAAAGTGAAGAAATCTCTGCTATAGGCCTCATATGCTTCCTGA